ACCATTAGGTTTTTAATTTTTTTTCTTTAATGTTGCAGATGTTATTTATTCAAATTCCTCATTATAATATTCTATAATTTCGTTAATCGAAAAGCGTGTTAGTAATCTGTAGTATTAATATTTTGAAGTATAAAACAGCATCAAATCCAATATAAAAATAATAAATTGTATAACATTAAAGCTGGGTTCTAATAGGGTTTCGATGTCTTGAAAATGTAATACGTCATAAAGTATCGAAGGCAATCTTAAGCAATAACCTTTAAAGTGGTTGGCAGTATATCGCTCAGCATAATTCATCAAGGCTATAAGCCTCCATCCAGGTTTCACAGGCCCTCATATTTGCATTAAGTATTTTATGCTGCTAACTGGTGGCATGATAAAATAAATCTTGTTTACTATTATAATTTTTAATAGTACAATAACACAATTTTTAACAATCGATACAGCACAAAAGATTTTGTAAGAATTACTTAATTGATCTAAAATTGTAATTAATAATTTTGTTTTCTAGTATTACTCCGCAAATATATATATACATATATATATATATATATATATATATATATATATATATATATATATATATATATATATATATATATATATATATATATATATATATATATATATACACATTCATTTTATCTTCATATCCTAATCCGCACCACTCTTTCATGTATGTATCAATAAGCAGATGTGTTGTGCTGAATTTGGAAAATGGCATGAGGAAAAATAGTACCCAGCGCCATATCTTTCTGGTCTTTGTTTGTTTCTTTAATTCAGAAAAGCAGATCTCTCATCCAACTTCTTTACAGTCTCTTCTTGATGAGCATGTTGTTGCCATGTTGTTTATAAGTCTTTGTTGTTTAATATAATATGGAATCGGAAGTAAAGAGTAAATTTATGTTTGTCGATAGTTAATTGACGTATTGAAAATGTAAACGTTTGTTTTTTTACGAACCAAGTAAATACGTTGATTAGTCTTCAAATTTCGGATAGACGAGACTGAATTTTGTTAAGTGCGTCTTTTTTTATTGATCCTTGATTTTCATTTTCGATTTGGAAAAAAGAATAGTATTTCTAGTATCTTTTTTTAAGTCATTCTTTTCATTATGACTTGTGGGTATATATTTTATTATCAACAATTTTATATTGTAATTATATATATATATATATATATTGTAAAATAAAAACTCTCACTAATATTTACCTACGATGTAAATAAATCTACATTCAGAATATTTAAACATTCTACATATTCTACATAAAAGCTTTTATAAATAAAATGGAATAAATAAAAACTCCCTACTTCGGCGCATATGTCACTATAAACGGTCCATTAAATGCACTCTTGTGCCTGCACAATTTACCTGCCATCAAGCCGTGCAGTCCTGTGCAAGAACTTCCCGAAGGCATTAATTCTCGGGTTTAATGACATTTTTTGTTGCCCATTTTATTTGTGCCCTAGTTAAAAGGTTGAAAATACCACGATCTCGTAGGTGAATTGCAGTAATTAAATTCAAGGACGATTGTGGAATAGCTGTCTTTTTTATTGCCACTCCTAAGTACTGTCACTGCAGGAAAAAAAATCATATATATTGAGCCTTTGTATATTATATATACGGTAAATAAGATAGTATTTAAAGAACGCAGTCGTTGATTTTGAGAAGACCGGTTGATTGAAGGTAATCTTTCAAATTCGATGAAGGTTTATTTAGAGAAAGGGAAAGATATTTCTTATCCACCTCTCTTTATTCTTCTCTTATTATATTTTGGTGTATGAAAGGAAACTTTATTTCGAATTTGTGCAATGTTAAGTGCTAAGTTAGATTAATAAATATTTGGTTAGATTGATTTCTTAAGATATACTTATGTTATGTTCGCGAAAGTATGGAATAGAATTTGATAAAATTTATACTAGACAATTATTGTCCTAAATACCATATTTTTCAAAATTGGCCGTAATAGAACCTTTGTGAAATATATGTATACTAGTAGGCCCGTGCGAAAAATTCGCACAGCATATTGTTATCAAAAGCCAAATTAATAAGAAAATGCAACTTATCAAAAGATTAAGACATCAAATGTTAGTTTATCGATAAATATAATCCACAAAGCAAACAAAAATTAATTGAAATCTTCCTTTTTGTTTGGAACCTATACGAATTTCAGTTAGCTGTATATTTGCTAAAAATTGTCCGATTGCGATGATTCTTTTTTCCTTTTGTAGAGAATTTACTAATTTTTTATATAATTATAGGCATAACCAAGGGAAAAGTGTGTAATTTTTCAGTTATTCGCAAATAAAGTTTATTTTCTTTCATAACTTGTTTGCCTGAATTTTCTGGGTGATTGGACTATTTTGCCAGCCTGAAGGAGAAGGAAGCCTTCGAAATTGGTGGCTCAATCTTAAGATTTGGTGAAAAATTAACGATGATATGACTTGCCGATCAAAAACACAATCGATGGATATTATAAACTCCCCCTCTCTCGATCATAGAGACCTCAAGTCGACGAAATGAGACATGTATTCAATGACAGTACTACAATTAATGTAAGGTTGTGTGGATGCGAACCCTATGCCTTGCGTTATCTCGAAAATAGTACGTTTTTCGGCTTAAAAACGCAGGATCCGATAGTTCCAAAGGAACTATGCGGGTCTTGCTGTACGCATCAAAATCTTTAATATCCAATTTGTCCCGTATCGATCTACAGACCTACCACCGTTCCAGTATCGAAGCCTAGCAAAATGTTTGTATCGACTTTATTTATTTTAGAAAGAAAAATAAAAGTGGAGAATACGATTCACTAACCCTCGGTGAAATTCTGAATCCAACGGTACCCCATTCGTGGTATTTGAGCATGACAGGAGCTTATATTTGGTACAAAACCGATTTAGAGCCTTATTGTAATAATATATGTACGGATATAAATTCCCATTTTATTTGTCGTTTGCGCATGTGTAAATATGTAAGCGGAAAACATGGATAATAAAACAGCTAGTTGACTCCTACGAATAATTCCCACAGAATATTGGTCAGTGATTAACTTTTAATATAATATAAAAATGAGTTAATAGTGTGTATATATATTATGACATAAAAGAAGTAATTTTATTTTTCCTCAGTCGAATCACATTTGTTTATTCAAGTTGTATCTTTGTTAATGATGGTCCGTTTACAATTTTTTTTTTAAGTTATTACACTTGTTATGGTTTTTGAAAAAAAGAAATCCAAGACTTTGCTCCAATTCGTCAAAAAAAAAAACTTTTTTTTTTCTTTCAATTTCTATGAAAATTTGTATTTGAGGGTTTTTAGGGGTGTGAAATACAAATCTCAACAAAAAAAAAAATATTTGAACACACTTTCCTCTTTCAGTCGGTACAAATTGTTTCTAATCATTTCTTTTCTTCATCATTTAGATTTTTTTTTTCATTCATAAATTCCTGGAATTTCAGGAGTTATTACTATGTTCGTCATTTTTCCATTTAATATCCTTCGTTTTATATTTCATTCAGACAAAAATCCATCGCTCCTGAGAGGCGTGAAGGGAATCGTTACTGCGGAAAAATATCGTATAATATTTGAGGATTGTCCCAAAAAGAAAGTTTAATTTCTTTGCATACCTTCAAGAAAAAAAAAAAAAAATCTTTTTTTACAATATGAAAGAGGAGGATTCAATTATTTTTTTAAATATGCTCAGGGGACCAATAGACACTGTGAAATATTAAATAATATTTCATTGACCGATTATGTGGATGAAAAAAAAAAATATTTCATGGGTTTCTGAGTTGTACCAATCAATTACAATTTTTTTTTTAAACATTAAATGTGGCTAAATCATATTATAGATTAATATTTATAATATATTATGTTGCTGTGTGTTTTATAATATTACAGCAACATTTAGGGCTAATTATTGTGTTCATAATTATGACCTATTCAAATAGGATGGCTTCAAAATATCTAAGATCATGATAGTCAAGAAATGATCATAATAAATATATCATTTATTTGTTAAATTTTAAAACATTTTAACCATATTTATTGAAATTTACAACTGTATTAGATAACAAATATACAACTAATAAATTAGAAATTGGTATCATGACTTGTACAAACAAAAAAATTGTTAGCACTCAAATTATAGTTTTATATTATAAAGTCCCGAAGCCATCTTCTTCTCAGATGCGTCAGAGGGCGTTAGAATTTAGTGTCCGTTTATATACTTTTTTTTTTTAAATCTATTTAATGAATAATAATACAATCAGCCACTGCTGGAGGGCTATAAGCATTAGGGCTAAAAGTTCTCATTCATACAATAGGCGTTTATATACTAGCAATTAATATTTTGATCTATTATTTTCAATAATGAACCATTATAATCGAACAAAAATTCAAAAAAACTTAATCTTCTCTCAAAATTTGAGGTTTTAGGTTTTAGGATAAATAGAATTCGAAAAAGGAATACAAGTTTTTTGTCCGTCCGTCGTTCGCCGTCCGAGCATTTTCTCCGAAACTACTAGAACGATTTTTTTCAAATTTGTATTTAAAATTAGAGGTCAATTTCAAGGTGGCGACCGAAAAACCTGCTTTGCTATAGACTGTAGCGCCTAAACGATTGTACCAATTTCAATGATATTTCAACGAAAAGAAGCTGGAAAAAAAGTTAAGAGAGGTGATAAAATTAGATTACGAATAACTCAAAAAGTATACACTTTTTTGTGGATATTATATGCTTATTTAAAAGTTTATGGAATTTCCTTTAAAAAAAAATCGTTGAAATCGGACAATAAGGAGCAAAGATATGGTCTCTAGATGTTTTTTATATGTTATACTACAAAGGTTATATCTGGTTTTGGATATTGTGAATGTGTTACTTAAGTAATGCTAATTTTCTTAGCATATTACTAATGATTAAAAAAAAAAATGTTTTGTCCAATAATTAGAAACTCCTTTTATTTCTTTTTCTTTGTCTCTAGGATAGTAAGATTACTTTAGATGCATAATTGTTTCGATACATCTAAAGTAATGCATTAGATGCTTAATAATAAAACATAGTGAAATAACTTGCAACGTTTTTAAAAAATATATTTCAATGTGAATTGTTTCAGACCTACAACTTAGATGCTCAAATTGGGGAATCTTCAGCGTGCGCCACAGCGCTGCTGTCAGGAGTGAAAGCCAACTTCGAAACTGTCGGTTTGGACATTAATGGAAGGTTTGGAAACTGTGCGTCTTCCCTCAAGTCAAGAATAGATTCCCTCATCGACTGGGCTCAGCAAGACGGTAAGCCACTCATTATATCCATGACAATAGGTAATATATTATGTATCGTATCCATACCAATAATTAATAAGTGGTTTGAAATTTCTTTGGACCCATAAACTGTGAATGACAATAATATTGATGTAAAAAAATCATATACCACAAAATCATATAGAATTTGGTGGACAACGAGAGGATAAAATAAACCAGCAACTGAAGGATGAAATATTTTGTCTGAAATTACCTTGGTTCTTGTATACATCACCATATTCACAGGCAGATCTACGGGAGAAGGAGAGACTGAGGAGGGCTTTCGGGCTGAAGCCCCCAAAAATGGTAAAATATAAACATGTTATATGAAAAAAAAATATCTCTAAAAGTATTATTGTTCATCTAATTACATTTAATAGGACTTCAAGAATCACTTAAACACCATTTCATATTGTTCACATTGGTTAGTTTCTTCCTTTCTTCCAAAGTAATTATCCTAATATAAACATACAAAAAAAAATTTAGGGCTGAAGCCGCCCCCAAAATTAAATCCTGGATCCGTTAGTGACCCTATTCAATTTACTACATTTATGAATAATTTTGTACCCCTGACTTAAACAACACCATGTCTATTTTGTATTTGTTCAGTGGAATCAATATTCCGTATCTTTGAGCTATTATAATTTGTTTCTTCCTTACTAAATTATTTAATGAAAAAAATGCATTTATCGACAAACTGGTTGTTTGGCCAACGTCGAGCTAACGATGTTGGTCAAAGTACTTGCCATATTTGTGAATGCCCAACTGGCTCATTAACTCTTCCTTACTTTACAAATATTTGACAAATTCAGGATAAACACTGGTGACTAGTGTGGTACAGCCAGGATTGCCAGGGCAATCATGTACTTTTTCCTTTTACTTAAAATTAAATCTAAATTTTTATCTAAAACCAACAATAACCTTAAATGATTAACTGATATTTTTCTATTATTTTAACCAGAATAATTTCTTTTACTTCTTGAAATTGGTACATTCGTTTAGGCGATACAGTCTATAGCAACGCAGGTTTTTCGGTAGCCATCTTGAAAGGAAAAGGCGGATATAAATGTCGATGAAGGAGGATCATTCTCGGGTGACCTCTATTAAAGATAAATTTGAAATAAATCGGTCGAGTAGTTTCCGAGAAAATGCCCTGACGGCGAACGGACATAATTTTTTTTATTAATTTTTCGAATTCTACATATCCTGAAACGTAAAATCTCAAATTTTGAGAGGGGGGTTAAATTTTTGAATATTTTTTTTCGATCACAATGGTTCATTATTGAAAATAATATACCATAATAAATAAAATGTTGGTGGAATATGACCTTAATTTATAAAAATGAATACCTAAAGACACCAAATCTAGGTATAATAAACCAAATAACAAATAAAAATCAATTTGAAAGTAAAAAAAACAATTTTAATCCACAAAATAGGTGCTCAGAGGGAAAGACAAGAAGTCATACACGTTTTATTTACTTATCTACGGTTCTATATTTAATGATTATTCTTAAAATGGTGGTGTGTACTTCAAATATAATACACTTTTTTTTAACTTACTAAATATTTTAAGCCGTAAAACCTAAAAATCGTTTAAGACCTTCGCTCAAAAAATCGTTTTAAGCCTTTTAATGAACCTTATTAAGTACATTTCATGCAATAATCTTCTTTGTTCTAGGTGCTTCACAGTATTCTCACGATCTTATTAAATAATATGAGATTTAAATCATTAAATAAAAATTGATTGAGCCGTTCGTAAAAATTGTTACCTTTAAAAAAAAGAAGGTTATTGTGACTTCACCGTTGTCTGTTTTGGTTTAAATGAGTATCGAATGACATAAAAATAGGAATGTTCAGTTTCCTTAAAACCAAAATCTGTCCCTTATAAAAGTTGATAAATTTATTTGTATTTGAAAAACATCATACACGATCTTTTTTTTCTTAACATAGCGAAGAACCATACACTTATTTATATGATAAGGCAGTCATATTACCAGTTATATTCTCAAACTTATTTTTCCGTCCTATCTTCTTGGCGAGATTCTTATAAGCAATTTCATCCTGGTATCTGGAGCCGCTCAGATCCGGGACGTATGACAACTCTATGAATACAAATAGGGAAAATGGGAGGTAAAACTAAATGAGAACTATTTTTAGAAGATTTTGTCATTCTTCACTTGCCATGGAACATATACAGTTCCCCCATTTTTCATAACTTCGTTGCGAATCAAGAGACGCATTTTGGAAAACTCATCTATGATTTTCTATATTTTAACATATTTAAAATTGCATGTGATTTACAAGTTTGGTATTTTTTACTCATGTTCTTACATAAGTCTATAACGAAAAAAGAAAAGACAATTCAAGTAAATATAACAAACTAAGCATTGGAGAAACCCGAAAATAAAAGAAAAAAAAAAAGCTCGAAAGTTATACAAGAAATAAAAAAAAAACGTTATAAAGAATTTATAGATATAATGGTGCTTCAAGTACTCAAAAGTATCTATAGAGTCATTGAGAAAAAGGGGAGCGTTAAAGGTAAATATACTCGGATTTTTTTTTTTTATTATTTTAATGGAATTTACAACTGTATTACATATAAAATACAATAAGTAAATGTGAAATTGATAACATGACATGTACAACATGAAGAGAAACTACCCATTGGTAGAACTCAAATGGAAATGTATTTGAATGGTAAAATAAGGAAGAAAAAAAAACCAGCAAGTATATTAAAAAAAATATATCATTGAGACTATCAGGTCCTGCACTTGGAAAGGAAGAACTGTACCAAGGCCATCGGTTGTGGAAGATGATTTGACCTAAGTAACAATCACCCATATTGAATTCTTAATATTGTGGCATTCATCAAAGGTGGAAGGTTGCGATGGCTGGGCCATGTGCAAAGGATGATGGATGAGAGGCTGCCAAAAAAGGTAATGAAGAAGTCGGAAGGAGGCAAGCAGGAAGACCATGGCTGAGGTGGTTGGATGTATAGGACGATTTGAGACGGATGGTAGTAAGATCATGGCGAAGGAAGACAGAAGAGCAGGCTATGGCTATATCAATGGCTATCAAAGTCCAATATGGAGATCAAAGTCCAACTAGGGCTATAGCGCCATTAATTCAAGTCAACACTCACCCATCTTGTTTTTCCACAATAAAGGGTACAAATATTTAAGGTATTAAATTTGCTCCGCGTCTCTCGACCCTTGGGTTCATCCACGGCTGATTTTAAAAAGTGTACCAAAAATGTTGTCCATCTTCAGGAAAACAAGTGGTTTCATGGCAATCATACGTCCTTACGTCCTTAATACTCCTGAAGCAGTCTGGACTGCTTCCTCCCCTGATCACTCCTCAAAAATCCTTAAGAAACATAATTTACCTCAACACCTCCTTGACCTAATCCACATAAAACGCCGTGCCAGATTATTATGGCAACGTACCAGACATCCAGCCGACCGCCACTCCTACAATTATCACTGTAAAAAATTAAAAAAAGAATTAGCCACCTTCAGATCCCAATCATTCAATTCCTACCTCACCACACTCTCTGCTCATGATAATTCCCTTTGGAATATCACCAGAAAAATCCTCAAATCCCATCATATTTCCCACCCTCTTCGACGAGATGATGGCTCCTGGGCAGCATCTGATGAAGATAAAGCCGAGGAATTTGCCAAACACCTTTCCTATACTTTCGCTCCTCATCCAGAATCCCATCCCAGCCACACAGTAAAAGTAGAAGAATCCCTCTCAATACCTATCCCACTCTCCTTACCACCTAAAGCTGTTAATCCCTCTGAGGTCAAATACCTTTTACGGAAAATCACACCTCGCAAATCTCCTGGATATGACCTTCTAACCCCACAGATCCTTCGACAACTTCCATCTAAAGCCATCACATTTCTTACATATATATACAATTGCATCCTACGAACTACCCACTTCCCTCTTTTATGGAAACATTCCTCCATCGTCCTCTTCTTGAAACCAGGCAAACCTTCCAACAATACAGCATCCTATAGACCAATTAGCCTACTCCCAATCCTCTCAAAAATTTTTGAAAATATCCTACTGAAACGAATCCTACCTATAATTGAATCCTATAACCTTCCTACTCATCAATTCGGATTTCGTTCCCAACATTCCACTGTCCAGCAAGGACTCCGAGTTGTTGACCATATATCCTCAACCCTAGAAAGCAAGCAGTATTGCTCGGGTGCATTTCTGGACATAGCGCAAGCTTTTGACCGGGTATGGCACGCCGGATTACTCTTCAAGCTTAAAATCCATCTACCACAGTCCTTATACCTAGTACTCCGATCCTATCTTTCCGACCGCTCCTTCCGAGTTCGCTGTGGCACCGAATTCTCCGACTGTTACTCAATTGAGGCTGGCGTTCCTCAAGGCAGCGTCTTGGGCCCCATCCTTTACATTCTCTTTACCGCTGATATTCCTGTCCATCCCGATACCCTCCTGGCAACTTTCGCTGATGACACTGCTATCCTTTCTTCCAACTCAGATCCTGAAACAGCGCCCGCAAACTTACAAAGGCACCTCTTCCTGATTGAACACTGGTGTAAGAAATGGCGCATTAAGGTAAACGAATCTAAATGTAAACACATTACCTTCACCCTTCGGCGTAATACCTGCCCACCAGTTTATTTTAACTCCATCCAGCTTCCTTTCTCAGATACAGTCCGGTATCTTGGCTTTCTCTTAGACAGACGACTAACATGGAATCCACATACTCGACTTAAAAGACAGGAACTTAACAGACGATATGGCCAGCTATATAGACTACTGAATAGAAAATCTAAACTTTCTGGTGAAAACAAATTACTGATCTACAAGACAATACTGAAACCCATCTGGACTTACGGACTAGAACTATGGGGAACAGCCAAATTTTCTAACATCAAACGCATTCAATCCTTTCAGTCTAAAGTCCTCCGTACAATAGTCAATGCTCCCTTCTATGTAACCAATAAAACCCTACATCATGACCTTAATATCCCATTTATTCTTGATCTTATCCCAGCCAAATTTTCCAAATTTCACCAGAACCTTTCTCATCACCCAAATCCCGTTGTACAATCCCTATCAAGCACCACTCATCCCTACAATCCCCTTCGTAGGTTAAAGCGGCAGTGGCCACGAGACCTTTTGTAAATATGGATATTTTGGAGTTCTAGCAATGGCCAGATTCTCCACTCAAGTCATGAGTGTCTGTGGCTGTAGCGCTCTTACTCATCCTCCGCTGGTTTAAAATACCAGTGAAGTGGCTGAGGGAGAAGCGTAGGGATCTCCTAGGCCTCCCTTTTCCCTCCACATGTGGAGGGGACAGGATTGGTTCGGAGATCACCTGGCAAATTGTAAATAATGTATGTTTTATATAAGGTGTTTGTTTTACTTTTATTTCTATTTTTATTTACTTATGTGTATATATATTATTTTTTTTCTTTACTCTTTTGTTCTTTCTTCTTATTCTTTTGTTATTACTTTATTTATTTATATTTTTGTATATACGGTATGAATGCAATCTCTGAACTCTATTATAAGTGTCCTTAACTGTGACAAATTGTAATATTTCTGAATAAAGTGTTTTAATAATAAAAAAAAAAAAAATACTCCTGAAAATTCATGACAATAAATTATTCGCAGGAAGAACTAAGTCGTAGCCAAATATTGATCACAATGTGAGCATGAATTAAGTACGTATGATTCATCTTTACTCTTCCTCAACCTTGAAATGTCAGTTGGTATTAAAGGTCCCATTGATTACAATGTTAAAAAGTATGGCCTTGTATGGGCTATTAGGAATCCTAAAATCCTTCGAAGAGATTCTACGAATCTTTGTCCCATTAAAAGATATCGTGATTTTGAAGTGTTATTAAAGCATATACAATTACACGTCTTTATTATCATTAACTTAAGAACTACAGATATGCTGTTGGTGGGCGATCAAGAACATGCTTTTTAAAATCTCTGACGTCAATAGTGATGTAAAAACTGAAGGGTTTTTAAAATTTAAGCAGAAAAACTTACTACACTGTAC